TAGAGAGTATGATGACCTAATAGTGCTGCTGTGAACATGAAAACAGATGATGATGCTATGAATTATCAAGCTTGTCAAACTTTAAGTCTTACTGGTTAAAACATCTTCCAGGCAACCCAATGCAATTCTTCTTTCTTTTTTTACATTCCTAGCTATCATCCCGATCTCTTTTGTGAATGTAATGTCTGATGACAGGCTAAACACTTTTAATTATAACTTTCTTCTCAAAAATTGGGAAGGGGAGGGAAGACAAAGACAAAAGCGCCATGACAGTAGAGTGAGTCACACCCTATTTGAGTTCAGACAAACAGTGTCCTACTTTTTCGTAATCATATGACTCATCCAGCCCCACTCCCACAATCCTATGGGAAACTACAGGAAAAGCTGACATGTGCAAGGCCAGAGTCATTTGGGCCTGCTGCCCTCACATAGCTTTGCTTTTAAAACTTAAAGGAAAACAGAAATGAGAAAAAAAGTCATGTTTTTCAAGGAATTGACAGTAATCCTTGTTCTGACATTTTAAAAAAAAAAATTTTTTTACCGCAGAATTTTTTGTGCTCGTGTGGCTGCGAGTGCTCCTCTATGGCATCCTATTTAGGTTGAAATTTCCAATACTTGGTGGTCATATGATAAAATGTTTATTGACTGAGTTAGATCAGGCTGGATATGGAAATACTAGGCTGTCAATTATGAAGCATGGACCTCACTGCACCCCATCTCTACATCATGCTGTCAGAACAAATATTTTCCTCTCCAGTCTTCCCACTCAGTCAATAAGAACATATTATTACACGACTCAGGTAGTCAGAGGGCCAATAACTAAAATCAACCAATCAAAAGGCTCTATTGCTGGTCCAATATTCTCTAAGTATTGGACTGGGCACTGTCCCGAAAGGTCCCGAATGATACCGCACTTGTGTCCCTTTGAACTTCAGCCGTATAATAAATCTCTTATTAACTAAGCTTGCTCGGGACCGTACTGAAAGAATATCAGCCCTGGGTCTTTTTTGTACCAACCGCAGCTCGGTCCGTACTGTCAAGACCTTGGGCCGATATTCTCCCAGTATGGCCCTCGCGCTTGGTTAATAAGATATATGGATTGGACTGGCTATGGATCCCTTACCTTTACCAAAGATGTGCTCTTCAAGTCTATGTACTCTTTCTTCAACATCTCTGTTTTTCCACTTATCTGAACGGGCATGGAAATAATTATGTTTTATCAGTTTCTTTAGACTAGTATATAGCATTACGGAATTGCACACATAGAAAAACGTCACACTGCATAATAACTTCTGCAATCAGTTGTCTCTGCAGTAGATCACAACACTGAAATTCTAATGCTAGAAAAATCATCTTTAGAAACTCTTTGCAGTAGTCAATTTGCATTATCCACTCAATTCATTACGAAATCGTGCCCATTGAAAAGCATCGCCCGGGAAAAGTGGGGTATCCATGATGCTTTGCAGGTGGAATGAGGTTACAAAAGCTCACCGCCAGCTTCGGTCTCTTAAGATCTGAATTGACAAATTCCCTAAAGGGAGTTGTAAAATTTCACTTTGCTTCCGTTCAGAGACAATGGAGATACATTTGAAGCAATTAGTATTGTTTGAAGGTGATGAAACAAGGTGCTCTTATGGTAAAGCTGAGTTGGAACTGAGCATGTACATACGTGGAGCAGGAATTCACAACGTATACTTAAGCTTTTCGAAAGATAAATAGACTTTCCCGACATGTTAAGTGAAACTGACAGCAATAACGGGCTAAAAAGGAATATTTCTGTAATGTTATTTTGCTTTCATGGCGAAATTGATGGTCGAACCTCGTAAATCTGCCGCATTTCAGTCTTAACATATTTATTCATATATGAGCCGCACTCAGCTATAAGCTGAGACCCTAAACTTCGGTCTGTTTTAATTGGGTTCTTAAAACATGTGAATTGAAAATACTCGGCTATAAGCCGAGACCATATTCAGAGAATTCCATTCTCAAAAAAACTGAGAGTATGCCATCAGTAAGTCCACGGCTGGAGGAAAGATCAAGAGAACCTCTTTAATGGAGAGCTCAAGATGTCAGCGAAACGTACAAGGATGGGCCGTTACACTCCAAAATATTCGCGGCTGGATGACAGATTACTTGACTAGTTTACAGGGCAGGGAAGCCAAGGTAAGTTTTCTTGTTACTTGTCACAGATTTCAACACTGTAATATGTGACGAGTTTGTTTACCAATCGTGGGAATGGGCAATTCTGGTTGGTCAGTTTTGAAATTCTTAAAACACTTTCGTGAGATCTATACCTGTAGAATTTGTAACACTCTAGACGGCACTGAAGATGAAGCAATCTACTCGGAAGAAACAGCAGAACTAGCGGACGAGGAGGAGATGGACGACGAATTCAACGCTGACACCAAGGACGAACAGTAAGCCATATTTACCAAGCACTAAAAACAACAAATCGCTCCTTTGGAAACCACCACATAAATAAAGTCAATCACCAACTTCAACTTGTTTTGTTAATTTATTTCTGCATGCAATATCTCGGCTTATAGACGAATATAATTATCTATGTTTCCTTTCAATTTGCCGTTTCGAAAAATTTATGTATGGAAAAACACTCAGCTATAAGCAGAGAACCCTTCTCTAGCTCAAATTTTCGAGATTTTGGTAAAGTTTTATGAAAAAATCGCTCGGCTTGAATAAATAATTTTACATATGATCGATTTTTGAACACTATCGCCTAATCAAGATTACGGCTATTCTTCTTTGATGAATAGCGCTATGTTTCAGTTGTCTGAGCAAGAAACAATACTTGCGAACATGGTATACACAGGGGATTACATGATTGACAGGCCTGCATGAAGTTACGCATGCTCTCTTTCTCTTTTCTAGCTTATTTGCATTTTCCCATGCGACGTTTTTCAATGGGCACGATTCCGTAATGTGATGCAACAAAACTATCTTACTTGTAAAACCTCCTAACAACCAGCCAACACTCAACACAGTTTCCTAAGAAAGTTCAGCCTCCTTTAGTCGTCAATTTGTACCGTTTATAAATCTCATGTCTAAAATATAAACAGTCCATTGTTCATAAAACTTTGCCGATCCATCAGATCACAAAATGCATTTGACTCTATCGATTAATTTCCATGTTAACTTTTTTTGTTCCATTTCTAGATCATGTGGCGGTAGGTTACACTTTTTACTGAACAGCTTCCTTGTTGCTAAGTAATCAATTTGCTGAACTACATACTACATGCGCATCTGACTAATCATTGCATCGTGTCTGTCTACCACGTGGAATTTGAATACAACTGTACCTAACAAGAGACTTCGAGGGTTCTGCCATAATACTGTACTCTCACAAACTCAAACAGACGTAACCGGTTTAGACGTAACCGGTTTATCGAGCGTATCAAATAAACACTCTGTTTCCGACGCCTGTCATTGCTATTATTCGTTTTGGTATTACGAGTGTGCATAAATTAGTAACGTAACATTTAGAAAATAACCGAAGTCCAAGGCCGGTTGCATTTCGTTCAATCTGTGGGTGGGTCTTAGTTCAACTCCTTTCAATCAGGAAACAGATATCTTGCTGTGTACAAAACTTAGCTCGAGAGATCTTGAAATTACACGACGTGCGCCCATAGAACGGTGTTTTCGAACTACAGTTGTTATTGTCTATTGATGGTAGAGCTAGCCAGGTGAAATTATGAAGTACGGTACTTTGAAAAGGGTGTAGCGGCCGTTCTCTGGCAGTGACTAGGTTTTAAATGGTCCTCCAGTAGCCGATATGAGGGTACGAAGTACAATTAGAAGAATATCAACAAACGAATCGAATTGAGCATTGCAAGCTAGCCTTACTGTTTAGGTCTAATTTCAATCCTGTAGCACTTTTCAAATGACTTCACTTCCCTTAATAATGGAAGCAAATATAATTTTCCTGGTGAAGGCATAACATTGCTCGTGTTCAAGAACACCGAACGCATCCATGGATTCAGTCGAAATGCACGAGTGGTTCAATTAATTCTCGACGGAAAGGACAAGAGGTAAAAACACCAGGAAACTTTACCAACCTCATGCCGGCTTACCTGTAACAGTTCTTCCCCTCGGCGAATCCGAGTTCATAGGCAGTTCCTTGAGGACATTGTAATTCAGGAACGTGATGAGAATGGACACTATCATCGCGAAAACAAGGAATAACCTGCCACATCGCCTGCGAGGCGGCCATAACATCCTCGAGAATGTATGAAACGTGTAGAAAATCGTGTGTCACATTGAAAGGGCAGGTTCAGCCTTGCTACTGGTGGGGTCAGGAACTGCAAAAGCGCGGAAAAATAAGACTTTTGTAGTCGCTTTTACCTATCATGGGAGATACATAAAATGAAAATTATCTGGCATAGAGTTTTCATTTATTTTTTAATCGAGCTTATGGACAGTTTTTCTTTTCCCTATTTTTGCCTTGTTGGTTTTGACTCTTCATATCCCCACTCGGTACATGTACCCCATGCAGTCATGTTGACAAAATTATGCTGGATGGGACTATCAAAAGGATGGACTACGGATCGGATCACTGGTAAGGTCACGCAAAAGCGAATGAAGAAGTAAATTAGACTACGACACTCTATTGGATATTGATCTAAATCTAAATCCCTTAGATTTGCTTACTCTTTTGACTATGTTTTCCACAATTTTCGTACTTTCTTTGTTAGCACCAGATCATGAAACGAAAATATATTTTAATAAGATCAGTAATATGAAAATTCTAATAACACGAAGACCTCATTTTCAAAGAAACCAATACACAATGATTGTTACAATACCGATCCCGATCTGCGTGGTAAACAGAAACGCTGGAGAAGAAGGTGCACACCTAGGAGGGGGGCATTGGGGCCTCTGGGAAACCGAAAAACCGGCGGAAAAAACCTCCAAAACCGTAAAACCAACGAAAAAAGGCAGCAAAATAGAAAACCGCATGCAAACCTGACAAAACCGCTACATTTTCACATTTAAATCGGTCAAAAAGGAAAAACCGAAAACCGCATCAGAGTTTTCGTGAAAACCGAAAACGTAACCGAATGCAAGAACACGTACTGAATCCGCAAACCGCTCTGAATATCAAAATCGAAAAACCGAACATATTTGGCCCAAAAACCGAAAAACCGATCCAAAGAAAAGCCAAAACCGCAAAACCGAAAATCGCAAAGCCCCCTAGGGTACTCGTTTTCCATGAATTAAAGAGGTTATTTAATTATTAAAAATTCAGCGCGGGAGATGGCGGCAAAAGATGTTAGCAGGAACAGCCACTTTGAGTGAATATGTTTAGTGAAACGTTTAATGTGGTAAATGGTTTGAAACTATGGATAACACGTGAAAGTGTAGTGTGATCGTCTGGGTGAGTGTAGTCCTGAGAAAGACTGTTGTCGGTGGTGGTGAATGACTTTTCGACAACCTGTGCGAAAGTCATCATCAGAGTCAAGTGAGTAGTTGTTGTCAGTAGAATGTTCTTCGTCAAGTTCGTGTAAAACGATTCGTCAGTTTTGCCGTGATGTTATTGGCTGTAAGACTCAAGTGGCGTAAGTCGGTCGTGATTTGTCTGTTTCGATCCGTCGGTAAAGTTAGGTCGTTCTGTTAGGTTCGTTTGTAATGTTAATGTCGTGAATGAGTCTTTTGTATGGAGTGGGTAATAGCGCACACCTGTTTAGGGGAGTCTGTTCTAAGTTAGTAAACTAGCTTTCCAGAGTCAGTCGTTGCAAGTAGTTAGTGCTGACACGGGAAAATTTTTTTCCCTGAAACGAGAATTCGACTCAAAATGAATCAAGAAAATGAACCATAAGGCAGAAAATATAAAAAAGAAAATTTCGGGAAGACCCTGCAGAGAAATCAACTCAAAGGCAGAGGCAATTAAATATCCGTGGTGTTGACATAGTAAATCGAACATGGTTTCTGTAAAAACGTAAATTGTTATCGTTTCGATGATAAATTCTCCAACACAAATTCAAATACGAGAACGCAGACACTAAACGTATTGCTTTTTGTCCGACCTCTTCGACTGCTGAATAACAACTGCCACTGACACAACCGATCCGAATATCAATTAGTTAATTCTAGCATGATATAATTTGCCACCGTAACGATTACAAAAGCTGACGTTTCGAGCGTTAGCCCTTCGTCGGAGCGAAAAGAGGAATTGTGGGTTGTGCTTTCTAAGCAACATATGGCAATCTGAGGTCTTTCCTTACACTTAGGTAGCACGGAAAGCCGTAAAACTCTTGAGCAAAAGCTCATCTTTCAAACGGGCAGTCTAAATCCCACAGGGATCAACGAACGCTTTTCATTCCGCTAATTTATCCATGTTTTTCTCCTTGCCATGTTCTCACCAATAACGTAGCTCCATTTTCTGCCTTTAAAAGCACACACAACCCACAATTCCTCTATTCGCTCCGACGAAGGGCTAACGCTCGAAACGTCAGCTTTTGTAATCGTTACGGTGGCAAATTATATCATGCTAGAATTAACTAATTGATATTCGGATCGGTTGTGTCAGTGGCAGTTGTTATTCAGCAGTCGAAGAGGTCGGACAAAAAGCAATACGTTTAGTGTCTGCGTTCTCGTATTTGAATTTGTGTTGGAGAATTTATCATCGAAACGATAACAATTTACGTTTTTACAGAAACCATGTTCGATTTACTATGTCAACACCACGGATATTTAATTGCCTCTGCCTTTGAGTTGATTTCTCTGCAGGGTCTTCCCGAAATTTTCTTTTTTATATTTTCTGCCTTATGGTTCATTTTCTTGATTCATTTTGAGTCGAATTCTCGTTTCAGGGAAAAAAATTTTCCCGTGTCAGCACTAACTACTTGCAACGACTGACTCTGGAAAGCTAGTTTACTAACTTAGAACAGACTCCCCTAAACAGGTGTGCGCTATTACCCACTCCATACAAAAGACTCATTCACGACATTAACATTACAAACGAACCTAACAGAACGACCTAACTTTACCGACGGATCGAAACAGACAAATCACGACCGACTTACGCCACTTGAGTCTTACAGCCAATAACATCACGGCAAAACTGACGAATCGTTTTACACGAACTTGACGAAGAACATTCTACTGACAACAACTACTCACTTGACTCTGATGATGACTTTCGCACAGGTTGTCGAAAAGTCATTCACCACCACCGACAACAGTCTTTCTCAGGACTACACTCACCCAGACGATCACACTACACTTTCACGTGTTATCCATAGTTTCAAACCATTTACCACATTAAACGTTTCACTAAACATATTCACTCAAAGTGGCTGTTCCTGCTAACATCTTTTGCCGCCATCTCCCGCGCTGAATTTTTAATAATTAAATAACCTCTTTAATTCATGNCTCAAGGTCTTAAAATAATTGAGAAGAGTTTGCTACCTTTCTATAACATCAAGAAATGGCTAGATATTCTAGTCTTCTCGGATAGGGACGAATAAATGGAGGTCCCGTCTCCTGCAGGGTTGGGGCAGGAGACGTTAATTTCTCACACACGAGATTACTGTATAATATATTATAATCAGCTAATCTTCCAGAAACTTAACTCGTAAAGCCCTACTTTAATGTCTTTCACAAGTTAATGAATAATTTAACACGACCAGGAGCCCATCACTTGATGGGCTCCTAACACGACACATAATTTTATTTGACATCCTATACTTTAACAAGAATTCGTTTCTCCTTAACCAAATCTGGAAATGTTTAAGTTGGTTTCCAGAGAAAAACAGCTGAAAACAGAACTTTCAACTTTCAAATTTAAAAAGTATATATGTTTCCTGACTTACGTTCAGAAGGTTGGCTACGATCTGGCAAAAAAAAAAATGCTTCCCTGAACCTAACAGCTCGATTATTTGCATTCGAACTGAAAAATGCGATTTTTGCATCTTATTGGACCTAAATGGATTGAAAATTTTATAAATCTATTTTCACTGATAGATCTTTTTATTAGCAAAAGGATAAAAAAACAAAAAAACAAAACAAAACAAAAAAATACGAAGATAAAACAAAAACAAAAAGTCAAGCAAAAAAAATTGTTTGGCGCTTGACTTTGATTATGTTTCCTTCGCCTAAGCTGGGTGAGTACAGAAACGTGTTTACGAAAAACGATGGCTTCATCGGCAAAAGATTTGGCATCCCAGTATCTTTATCGTCAGCAACTGCGCTATTACTACAACAGTGATCTTCCGATATCCATCCCGTTCAATTTTTTTCCTTTTGTTCGTTATATTAGGAACTTCATCTAGACGACCTTCGCATGTTTATGAGTCCCTAAGAAGCTTGTCAAGACGAGTTTCTTGGAAGGGTGTGGTTTAAGATAAATTTTAGGCCTGTAGTGCGCTTGAATCGTTCGTCAGCTTCCATACTGTCAATATAAATTCTCTAATTTCTTCAGCAAAAGTTATAAAAAAAAAAACATTTCTCACCGCAAGAGACAAATTCTATTTTCAACCAAAGGTCTCTTTCGGTATTGAAAATATATACCGCCCCTTTTATCCAGAAAACACTTCTATTAAGAGTGAAAAATATTGTTTTTCAGACTTTCTGGTGTTTGATTTTTACCACAGCACAGCCTTATGAGTTATGAAATATTGCACACAGTAATGGGTGCAGTGATAGGTGCCAATATAGGCCGATTCCGCTGGCATCATGGCTCAATTGCAAAGGTAATTTCATAAACCGGACAAAAATTTAACTTAAACATTTCGCTCCCAAGATCTCATTGGTCATTCTTCTTATCATCTGCCAATGAGCAACCTCTTATGATGTTAGTTTGGAGAGTTTGGTATTGGATCAACTAACAATCCCCTAGTCATTACTTGTCTGCGTGATATTATATTAATAATGTAGCTCGGGAGAAATTCTGTCCTAGTCCCTCATGAGAGTAAAAAGCATTTGTTTGGACGAAGTTCATTAATGATGATTTTGGTTTAAAAAAGGAGGGAGCTTTTTAATCATATTCGCAGCAAAGTTGCTGAATGGCTAAAGCTGGCATGTGATGTGAAGTGAACCTCTTGCTCTTTGTAAAATATGAGGTTTGAAACAACATTGTTGGAGTCTGAATGGACTGAAACTCTAATGATTGCACTTAAAATATTTTTTTAAAGTTTTATTGGAATAGTGTACACCTCATACCCCAAAGAACTTAAAGCAGGCATTATTCTTTGAAGGACATACTTGCATTTACATCAACATTGCATTTAGATGGTGATTAAAAAAAAAAAACAGATATATCTTTATTCTGTTTTTGGTTTTCTTCTCTCTCTACAACCCCCGTGACAAAGACATTCTTTCTTTTAATTTACGTGATATTCTTTATCTTTCCTGTATTACTGCAGTTTGAAAACAACATTTCACAAACGATATGATGACTTGCTTTTTTTGAAGCAAATGATCAGTACACTGTCTATAATCCCCGAGGTACTCTCGAAATTAGCAATTAACCCTTTACTTTCGAAATTATTATGTAAGTTCTCCATTCTGTTCTCTTAACTTTTCTTATGTTACTCGAAAGAAGAATTTGTCGAACAATAGCGGGCTTTTCGAGTTTGAAATTGTATCCCTTATTCTTTATTCTCATTACAGCGATGACTGATTCAGGGGCGATACAATTATTAGATGCTTATCATACTTAGGAGCAACAGGCTAAAAGACATGCAGTTCACTAATAATATTTAAGCGATTCAAATTTTTTATACGGGAAGAAAGTCCATGTGCTGTCTTTGTCTTACTTTAATGAAGAACCAGTGCAACGCAAGCGACGAACCTTTTTCAGTTTTAAAATTGCTGTAACAGTGACTAGGTGCGTAAGAAATTCAATGTTTTGTCTGGTTGTCTGAGTGTGTTTTCTAATATTCGAACGGAAATTGTTCATAAAACTAAGCTATGATAATATTGCAAACTCATGGCTCGGTGTATGTAATTTTTATAATTCCATCTTCATTACCGTGAGTGAATGTTTGCGTAAATTTCTCTGAAAAATATTGTACAGTTTTGTGTTATATATTTATTTAATTCATATATATGGGCACGTTGATGCTTGATTAGTGAAGAGACGAACACTTATTGAAAAAGAAATATATATTATACATCACGATATTAAACGGTTGATCTCGACAAGGCGTCATTATCTAAGCTGTTCTTTTTCATATTTTCATCAATCATATATTTATACGTTACACTGATCACGGGAAGGGAGCAGCTCACAGGATATCACTCAAACTGTGCAAATCTATGGGAATATCGGAAAGCGCATTACTATGGTAATGTATTGAAACCGATATTTACGACAAAATGAACAAAGCATTATTGCCGGAAATACGTCGTTATTGTGACTGAGAAAAAGCAAATTTCTGCTTGGTAATGGGTGCTATAGCAGATATCATTTAGCGTCGTGGGAAACAAGGAAAGTATGGATCTGTACTAACCTTAAACGTTGACTTTAAACTTTGCCACAGAGGTTGCACTCTGTCAAATCGCCAAAAGGGCAGTTATTAAAAAAAAGTTTTGATTTGAGCTCCTTTCACAGTTGTAACTCATATTACTAAAGAAGTAGAAAATATGCCGTTCACAACCACAAACACAACGCACAACATTTCAAGCCCGACAGTATTCGCAACATTTCTCCCAATTCAAAAGATACAACATGTACAGGTCACTCATGCGGCCTCTCTATGGACTGATTACTTTTAGAAACACAGTCGGCAGTACACGCACATAGAACACAGAACGAAACAATATCAATGCCATGTCAACTTCAACAGAATAAAAGCCAAAAGTTTTTCGAATCATTGGTAATGCCATACCATCATAGAAACCTCTTTCAAGTTGGCTTATGTCAATAAAACATTGTTTTTTAAAAACCTTTTTGCGATCAATATGAAAGAAATGCGTCATGGATGGTGCATCTCGAAAAATAAAATGACGCAAATCTCTTCGGGTTTTCAATTCCTGTTTGTCTTTCCTATCCTCAACAATTATAGTTCTCTGATGTTTGTCTTCCTTTACGGCCAAAGTATGATTTCAATGTTTCTTTCCATTCAAAGTCAATTAACTCGATGTATCGTGACTTTTTGAAAATCCATTATGGTGGGGATCGAACTGTACCCTCGACCATTATCGCCCTTAGTGGTTCATGAATAACTCTTTGATGTTTGTCTTTGTTTCCAAAGTATAATTTCAATGTTCCTTCTATTCAGAGTACGTTATCTTGATGTACAGGGACTTAAATAATTTACTCTTATGAGGATTGAACTGTTTTGATTCTTCCGTTTTAGGACTGTTTACCCAATATCTTCTGCACTGTTTTTGTCACTGCTTTACGTAACGTGCCAATTCGCCAGCAGAACAAAACCGGGTTAATAGACGAATTCATGAAAACTGCAGTCGTTGCGAAACCCCAAGCACTATCCCAGTTTTCAGTTACGAGATACAAGGTCATAGCAATAGACATTGGCATATAAAAAACAACCATGACGATAAAGAACACGAACGAATTTAACGCGCTGGTCTTCAGCTGTTTGAAGTTAGAGAGATTTTCTGTGGTTGAAGCTTGCACCGCTTGCTGTAGAGTACTGATCTGAAGTTTTTGACGTTTGACTATTCTATAGATCCCAATGTAGGCGACAATTGATATCAATAAAAATAATCCCACACCAAGAGCTATGAGGAAGAAATACACTAGTGGATTTAAATAATAAACACCTGAAAGAAGGAATATTAAAAACCAAATTATTGCTATCGCGTGTACAGTTCTAGACTTTGTTACAAGAGATGGATAACGCATATGGAAGTGAAGGGCCAAAAATCGGTCCACACTGATGGTCGTTATGGTGCAAAGAGAAATCCCACATGCGGCAAAGGACACCGTGAACCACAGACTATCCAAAAGCTCTTTCCTTGTGAGTACAGATGCTATATAAAGAGGTTGAATTAACGTGCCAACTAAGAGATCGGAAACCGCCAGGCTACAGAGAAGCAAAATGGACGATGAACGAAGTGACGGTGTTTTCAAGATAGCAACGAGTACCAATGCGTTGCCAAATATGGAGAGAATCATCAATGGGACATTTAAAGCACAGTTTACGATGACGGTAATTTCGGGTTGTGAGGAGTTTTTTGCGACTTGTGAACCATAAAATCCTGCACCACTGGGCATTTTTGAGTCTTGGAGATCGCTGTTCTATTTCATGTCTTACTGTGCTCTAGTGACAAGGAACTAATGCTTATCATTCATCTTTCGAACTCAATTTGGAGTGTTTTCTTGTAATATCAGTCTGTCAAGTTTTATGACATTTGATATCTTTTTATGGCATTTGATATCTATTTATGGCAAAGGCGAAAAAAGTTGAGTGCCAGCGCAATATGCACTTCGAAAGCAAACCTTCATATCAATGTTTTGTTTCTCTGAATCTATTTTCTTTAAATAGCATTAAAATCTAACGTTTCGTTTATAAACAGCTTACATTTTATTTAAAATGCATTTTTACACCTGGATTCCTTTCAAGATTTCGCCGTAAATGTCAGCAATTTTCTAATAGAATTATGACAATAG